TATTTAAAAAGAGTTATATCCTAGAGTAGAAGATAATACAATAAAAACCAAAGAAGCTAGAATTTATTTCCTATTACTTTTCCATTAATTTTCCGATCGTTCCTATGGCAGCTATATGATATAGAAGTCCGATTTATTAAATAATTAATTCGAAATTCAGAAATATTTAAAAAATAAAATCCCCAAAAGTAGAAGGTAATATTTCAAAAAACACCGAAGCTAGAATTTTTTAAAGTTTTTTTTTCCGACTCTTCCTATGGGAGCTATAAGATATAGTTGTCCGATCCGGTCGGTTCCGACATATATACTACCTGCAATAGAAAGAAGACTTTTGCGAAAGTTTCGTCTCGATAGCTCAAAAACTGAGAGACTAGTTTGCGTAGAAACAGACAGACGGACATGGCTAGATCGACTCGTCTTGTGATGCTGATCAAGAATATATATACTTTATGGGGTCGAAAACGTCTCCTTCACTGCGTTGCAATCTGAAATCATAATACCCTCTGCAAGGGTATAAATATATTAACAGCTTCAGTCATATTGGTACATAAGTACAGATTAGACCTATCCGAGCAAGCGATAAGGCTATTGATAAGTGAAAAGTTTGCTCTACGAATGCAGGGGATGCGTTTAGCCGACTTTTCAGATATTTTAATTAATTTTGTACCCGTGTCAATAGTCAGCTCCAGCGTTGGGTGATATGGGTCTTCCGGTAAAGTAATTGCAGAGGTTTTAGCTATGCAGACACAATCTGGACTTGAAACAAAGCATATATAATCGTCCTAACGAATTTTGAACATGGTTTACTAGAGAAGTATATACATGAAATATCAAGCAAACCCTCCAGAAAATCATGCTGCGTTGAAGGTAACAATATATTCGAAGTTTTTACGGTGGACCATGTCGCTCTAGGTATATTAAAGTCACCTAAAACTATTAACTGATCCCTATCTGATAGTTTAATTGAAATAAACTGGATAGCGGACAGATGATGAGATGAGTGAGCGGGAGTGAGTAAGCGGGTTAGCGTTAGTTTTAGCTGTGCCAACAACAACGTTTTATGCGGGAGAGCGGGTAACTACTGTATAGATGCTTACCGCTCCAAACAGCGTTTAGTAGAAAAGGAGAATGCAATTAAATAAAAACAATAACAACAAACACTGCACAGAGACTGGGCGTGCAAACTAATTTAGTTAATTTAAACACAAAAGAATCACTATGCACTCGCGAAGCGAACGGATATTGTTAGGGACATAAAAAGCTTTATAAATGTAAGAATAATTGAATTAAACCCCGATGGTTTATGGACAAAAAGAACACAAATTCGGAGCGCAAGACAAAAACACGACCGTTCACTAAAAGAGCGAAAGCTTTACTTTTTGATCATCTTTACTTTTTTGACCATCTCGCGTTTCTCCCATAAAATATTTGATCTTCACCTGTTCGACTGGATTAAACTTAGGGCATACCAAGTAGCCTAACTATTTGTATGAAGAACTGCATTTTACATCTTCCCGAAGGACAAATAATGTAATATGTCGCAGATATAGACTGTCAGTCTCTGAAAATCAGTTCTTTGTCTATGCTGTACGTTTTTGGAATGAACTACCACATCGCCTCAAAACAATTAAGAGTGTTCCACAATTTAAACATGCCTTAATGACACACTCCAAAAATTAGAAATAAATATATATATAATAAAAATTAAATAAATATGAATAAAAAAAAAAGAAAATAATAATAATAAAAAAATTCAAAACCAAACGTTGACAACCTACCGAAATTTGCAAATCCCAGAAAGTCCGAGGTTCACTACTTCTCAGAAATCTTTAAAGATGTGGGCGCAGGACCCATTTTAAAATCGTTAGTGGGCGATTGTGGGCGTTAAAGGGGGCGTGGCGCTCGGCTAAAATAAACTTGCGCTGCGTAGGAAGCCAAAGAATATGTGTGGGAAATCTCAACCTTCTAGCTTTTGTAGTTTCTGAGATCTCAGCGTTCATACAGACGGACAGAAGGACAGACGGACATGCCCCTGATCAAGAATATATATACTTTATGGGGTCGGAAACGCTTCCTTCTAGCTGTTACATACTTTTGCACGAATACAATATACCCTTTTACTCTTCGAGTAACGCGTATAAAAATATTGACTGCCCTTCCTTTAAAAGTAAATATTAATGAAAAAAATCGTTTGCCCACCCCTTAAAACTAAAAAATATTGACTGCCCATCCTTTAAAAATACATTTTTATAAAAACAAACGTTTGGCACCTCTAAAAATTAAAAATTATTGACTGCCCACCCTTTAAAACTAAATATTTATGAAAATAATCGTTTGCCCACCCCTTAAAACTAAAAAATATTGACTGCCCACCCTTTAAAAATACATTTTTATAAAAACAAACGTTTGCCCACCTCTTAAAACCAGGGACCCTAACTGTTATGAGTTAAAAATCACATTTTAACAGTTATTTTCGGATTCGTAAAGTAAAACTCAAAGTAAAACTGTTATTTTTTGAGTTTTATAATAAAAGTTAACAAATAACCGTAATTCGTCGTGATCAAAAATAAAACTCAAACTTGATTTATGGCGATTTTGTGAGTTAAAGAAATTTAAAAAAAATATAGTTATACAATATGCTCGGTTGGCTTTTTTTTTAAATATTTTTAGTAAGTTATATAAAACTCGGCTAGCATGTTTTTTTAATTATTTAATTTTTTTTAAATGTCAAGGGAATAACTGTTATACATAAAAATAAACAAATAACAGTTATTTTTGACTTTTATTATAAAAATCAAATAAATAAAAACCATTACGGATTTGTAAACTACAATGGCTAACAAAAATAATGGTGTATTTAAAAAAAATGTTGGACTCTTCTAAGTGCATGATTTTTTTGGTAAGAAAAATTTACAATAACAGTTATTTTCGGTCCCTGCTTAAAACTAAAAAATATTGAGTGCCCACCCTTTAAAAATACATTTTTATAAAAACAAACGTTTGCCCACCCCTTAAAACTAAAAAATATTGACTGCCCACCCTTTAAAAATAAATTTTTATAAAAATAAACGTTTGCCCATCTCTTAAAACTAAATATTTATTACTTTTAATTACATGTTTAAGTTTTAATTGGCATATGGGCATTTCCAGGAAAAAGTCAACCAAACCCCAAAAATTAAAAGTTGGCTGAAAAATGTATTTTTTTTATTTAAAACTAGCATTGGTATCTATATTTTGAAAGTCAATTACATTTTCTTCCAAATTGATTTTTTACACGAAGATATGGAGCTTTGAAAAACGAGCAACACGTTCTGTATATCTCAGCAACATTTTGTTGTGTTTTCGTAATATTGGTATGCCTTCTGTGGAAGTCTCAAGATCAAACAACCAAGAGTACATTATAGTTTGAGGCAAATGCTATTAGGAAAAAATATAAACTTCTTAAGGAATAATGGATTTGAAGGCTTTTTTTAAGTTTGTTTTTACAAATTTTTAATGTCGCGTCCATAATCAAAAAAACCTATTTTTTCCTTTCAATCGTGCAATTTGCGACACATATAATCCTGCTTTTATGCCTAAAGCAAGGATATTTGGAACAAATTAATTACAATTTTTTGACAAAAAAAATTAGCTCATTAATATTTTTAAAGAAATTTTAAAGTCTGTCGCGTCCGTAATTTCAATTTTTTATTACTAGAAAACAATTGTTCATAATTTTTGTTGTGAAGCTAATTGTTTAATTTGCTGCATATATGCTTGTGTAATTGGTTTACATTCATTTAAAATCAGTTTTTTTTAAATTTATTTTTAAATGTTAAGTACATTTTTCTCTACAATTTTTTCAAAAATTGTTGTTATTTTATACCCTTGCAGAGGGTATTATGATTTCAGTTTGCAACGCAGTGAAGGAGACGTTTCCGACCCCATAAAGTATATATATTCTTGATCAGCATCACAAGACGAGTCGATCTAGCCATGTCCGTCTGTCTGCTTCTACGCAAACTAGTCTCTCAGTTTTTGAGCTATCGGGACGAAACTTTTGCAAAAGTCTTCTTTCTATTGCAGGTAGTATATATGTCGGAACCGACCGGATCGGAACTAAATCTTATAGCTCCCATAGGAAAGATCGGAAAAAAAAACTTTAAAAAATTCTAGCTTCGGTGTTTTTTGAAATATTACCTTCTACTTTTGGGAATGTTATTTTTTAAATATTTCTGAATTTCGAATTAATTATTTAAAAAATCGGACTACTATATCATATAGCTGCCATAGGAACGATCGGAAAATTAATGAGAAATATTAGAAAATTGAACATTTTTGCGATTTGTTAATTAATAGGAATGATCTGCAAGGGTATATAAGCTTCGGCTGGCCGAAGCTAGCTTCCTTTCATGTTTTTAAATAACTCTAAGCGTTTCTTTGTGATGGGGTGGGCAAACGATTATTTTCATAAATATTTAGTTTTATAGGGTGTTTTTATTTTTTAGAGATGGGCAAACGTATGTTTTTATAAACATGTATTTTTAAAGGGTGGGCACGGAAACGGACATGGCTAGATCGACTCGTCTAGTGATGCTGATTAAAAATATATATGTATACTTTGTAGGGTCGGTGACATCTCCTTCACTGCTTTGAAAATTTCTGACTGAAATCTTAAGGTAGGCTATAAAAAACAAGAAAGGAAGTTAGCTTTGGCAAGTCGAAGTTTCGTCGCGATAGCCTTTAAAACTGAGAGAGTAGCCCGCATAGAAAAAGACAGACGGACATGGCTAGATAGACTCGGCTATTGGTGCTGATCAAGAATATATATATGTATACTTTTTGTAGTCGGAAACGTCTCCTTCACTGCGTTGCTTACTTCTGACTGGAATTATAATACCTTCTGTAAGGGAATACAAATATTGTAGGCGACAGCTTCCGCCCGCTAGATAAGCCACTTACAATAATAAGAACGTTGCAAAATCAAATAGTAAATAAAAAACAAACTTTGCACCACTCACACATACAATCATCAAACAGCATCTCACACAGACATTAAATATGGACGTGTTTCTGCCGTTCAATGGGTTTTTTTCGGGATCTAGAGGGGTACTCAATGGGCTTTGTTTACGTCGGTGCACTTGCTAATTATATGCACTTTATAAAGCTGCAGTATAAATTTCCGAGCTGTTATTTTATGCGTACACACTTTTGCATAGAGAAACTAAGGCGGTCTGTGTGTATTGGTATTATGCTGCGCATTGCTGGAATTTCTTTCACTCACACAAACACATCTCGGCCAGGAAAAGATGCTAGTGCACTGCCAAATTTTACTTCAAACTTCGTGGCCGATGTTATTGATCTTTTTCTACGGTCATCTGCTTTTAAAATGTCTCAATTTTTGTACGCTAATTTTAGAAAAAAATTAAAAAGATGAAAACCAAAAGTCCGACGCGTCTTACAGTGTGACCACACCGCACTGTAATACCACAGTTTGTAGTGACTATCGGTACTCTGCAGTATTGAGTATCGTTAAAGTATCGATATATTTAATAATAGTTACAGGAGTGTCCGTAATAGACTGTTCACGCAAAAAGGGTTTTGTTTAAGCGATTAAATTCCGCTTTAGTGACTTTTTCTTCCATAACACAGTGCAACATGAAAAATGTAACCGCAGTTTTGATTTCATGGGCGGAAATACTCATCGAAATAAGCTAAAACCCATTTGGGGTTCTCTGGCCTAGCTCGCGTTTACCTATTATAGCGAATTAAAGTTTACATACAAAATTTATTTGTGAACCAATAAAAATTTCACTATCTTCACTATCTTCAGCGATTATGTAGCTATGAACCAAGGAACTAAATTGACAAATGGCATCCAGAGGAAAATGGGACCGCAGTTCTAGTAATTAAATACTTTTAGTCAGTAAAGAAAATTGTCAAATCCGGACCAACCCCTTATAAGGATATTGTTGCTGCACGACCAGGGGAATTCGCTTTTTCTTTCTAACACAATTTCTTATGGAAGAAAAAAGTGCTGCAGCGGAATTTTCTCGCCTAACCTTACATCGTATAGTGAAAAGTTTTGTTTTTTATTTTTTGTGAGAGCGAAAAAAAATATCGCTCAGAAATAATGATTATTATGTGAGCGATCTTATTTTGCTTAAACATATCACTAAAAGTGCGATTGCAGCCATTCTGTACGGAATTTTAGAAAGATTTAAGTTTGTGCTTGTAGGTAGAACCACGAAGCACATATTGAGTTAATAAAATAAGGTGTTTTCTTTGTATAATCATTTAAAAACGCGGTTATTAGTTTACAAGAGGTATGCATAAATACAAAAAGTTGTAGCAACCTTAGGACTTTATGTCATTTATATATTAGCAAAACGACTTAACAAGATGTTATGAACTATTCCACATAGACCCAACCCGACATGTGGGCTGGGTGTTAGCATGTTGGTGCCCCGTGCTGTAAGCACGAGTTCGATTCCCACAGAACATATTTTTTTTATACAAAAGTCAACCGCTTATTAAGCGGTTTATACAAATACAAGTACACATTTAAATAATTATTTTTAAATAATTTTATTTTTAGGTCAAGCTGATGGTACAAGGTGCATAAACAATATAATTTCAGATGAGATCATTTTGTCCTACAGCCCAGAAGGATGTTATTCTTGCACTTCTAAGTAAGTTTTTATCGTTCTTGTCTAATATTCTAATAAATTATAATATTATAAAAATATATATTTTCCAAATAAAGATCCCATTGGCCAGGTGAATCCTGCAGAGCCTCCGGAGAGGATGCGGAGATGTGTAAAAAATATCCATGCGCGAAAACGGAGCTCACCAAGACTCCGGAAGCCATGACAAACGTACCGAAGACCCTAAAAGTCACCGTAGTTGGTAAAAATCTATTAATTTTATGTAAAAGTATGAAAATAATTTACCAAAAATGATGTAGTAAAATGAAGTGAAAAGAAATAAACCGTTTGATAAAGGCGATGAAATTCAACATATTTTTTATTTTTCTCTCTCTTTGCTGATGATTTTGGGTGATATTACGGCGCTAAAATAGCGCCAAAAGGGCGCCGAATTTGGTGATGAATTAAGCGCTGAAAAATGGTGATGAACAGGTGCTAAGAAAACGCTAGTTTCTGGCAGTGATGAGCCCCTAGGACATGCCCATGTTAAAATCAGCGCTATTTTTCATACAAATGCACTACTACACGACAATTATGGCGGGTTATGCAGGTGACGAGAACAGAGCAAAAGAAATATGGATGTCGAAAATATATCAAAATATCAATATATCGATATTTTTTACGAAAAAATAAAAATTTTTATCGTGATATTTTTTTTGAATAATTATCATATATCATCGATTTTTTTTCACATGTTTTTGATAATTTTAAGTGGTTTCACTTTTCATCGGGACAAGAAAAAATACATATGTGAAAAAAGAGCGCCGCTTTCGGCAAGTGAAAATGCATAGCATAGCATTAAGAATTCAAGAAAAAAAAGCGCGGGAAATACTAGATTTTAATATTTTAAATAGAAACATTAATTAATAAATATAAACTAAAAATTATAAAAATATAATTTAAGATCGTATGTGGGTTAATGTTTAGTGGTTATTTCTTATGCAGCTTAAAATTAAAAAAAAAATAAAACAAAAATATCAAAAAAATCTGATATATAGATATTTTTTTAAATATAAAATATCATCGATACGATATTTTTAAATATTTCGACATCCCTAAAAAGAAACAAGTGAAAATGTGACCGTTTCAGGTGGTTGCCAACAACATCAATACAACCTTAGAAAATACCAACTGCCCAGTGGACCCAAAAACTAGTGCAAACATAGAATACTATGTGCGTCAAGTTAGCGTCGGTGACTTTAGCGGCGATAGCGGAACGGTGGAATTTGGAACACGGGGCCAATTTTTATTTTTTGATTTCTCGGGCTTCTGGGGGCCAAATCGAACAATTTTAACTGTAAACTTGTTTAGAATGAAATTCTCTTTCGATTTAGGTAATTCGCGAGTCTGGCCGATGTTCGGAAGTGTGAAAAAACTGCATTCAAAAAATCAGGTCCCCACGTTTTGGGGAATATCTCCACTCACAGAGCGTGCTCCACAATGCGCGCTAGCTTAGCTTAAAGATCGTCCTTTGAAGGACATTTGAGGAAAATTGCATCAAAAAATTATCGTCAGTTTTTGAGAAAATCACTTAACAGTGGACCAACCTCTGAATCCTCCCATACAAAAAAAAGTCCTTAAAAATTAATTTATCCATAACTTTTTTCACAGAGCGTGCTCCACAATTTCGAGCTTATAGTATGACGGGGGGTTAATTAAGCTATGCTCCCTGAAAATTTTATTATAAAATTATCGTCAGTTTTCGAGAAAATCGCCTAACAGTGTTTAAATTTTAAACGGATATTAGAATACCGCCAACCCCAGTACAAGAACCATGGCCAGCTATGACATGAACCGCAGTATCCGACACAACAACCGACTTACAAATTCAATATCGACGCTAACTTAAACTAATTATTTTTGCCTCTCACAGAGCGTGCTCCATGTTGCACGGTATCCCAAAAATTCAGAAATTAAATGAACTAATTATAGTAAAAGTTTCAAACAATTATTATCGTCAGTTTTCGAGATATTTGTCCAACAGTTTAGCGGCATGGGGAAATGCCCTCAATGGCCATCGGGTGCTTCCTGTTTTCGACGCTAACTTAAAATGAATTATTTCTCCTTTCACAGAGCGTGCTCCACATTGCACGGTATCCCAAAAAATCAGAAATTAAATTAACTAACTACAGTAAAAGATTCATTAAATTATTATCGTCAGTTTTCGAGATATTCGCCCAACAGTTCAGCTGTATGGGAAAATACCCCCAACGGCCATCGGGTGCTTTCTGTTTTCGACGCTAACTTAAAATGAATTATTTCCCCTTTCACAAAGCGTGCTCCACATTGCACGGTATCCCAAAAAATCAGAAATTAAATTAACTAACTACAGTAAAAGATTCATTAAATTATTATCGTCAGTTCTCGAGATATTCGCCCAACAGTTCAGCTGTATGGTAAAATACCCCCAACGGCCATCGGGTGCTTTCTGTTTTCGACGCCAACTTAAAATGAATTATTTCCCCTTTCACAGAGCGTGCTCCACATTGCACGGTATCCCAAAAAATCAGAAATTAAATTAACTAACTACCCTGCAGGAAAAATGCGAACTAGTCTGAAAAACAACTAGTTAAATAACTAATATAAAGCAACCGGAATTTGTCTGAATGCATTTGGACTACACAGGGTCTAGAAAATTTGTGCTAGTCGAAAAAATGATTAATACAAAACTAGTAAAAAATAAACTTGTCTCGGACTAGTACCTTTCTGACAAAAAAAACCTTAAAAATATTTAACTGGAAGAACAAATACATGTTAGGGTCTAGTTAAAAGGCAACTGGAATTTAACTAGTTGCAAATGAAACACATATGATCCAAAAATATAGCCTAGAGGGTAAATGTCTTGGGAAATTTAACAATAAACAAATCAAACACTCGAGGTCCTCGGTTCAATCCCCAGTTTCTGTACATTTTTATACCCTTGCAGAGGGTATTATGATTTCAGTCAGAAGTTTGCAACGCAGTGAAGGAGACATTTCCGACCCCATAAAGTATATATATTCTTGATCAGCATCACAAGACGAGTCGATCTAGCCATGTCCGTCTGTCCGTCCGTCTGTCCGTCTGTCCGTCTGTCCGTCTGTCCGTCTGTCCGTCCGTCTGTCCGTCCGTTTCTACGCAAACTAGTCTCTCAGTTTTAAAGCTATCGGGATGAAACTTTCGTAAAAGTCGTATTTCTATTGCAGGTAGTATATATGTCGGAACCAACCGGATCGGACAACTATATCTTATAGCTCCCATAGGAAGGATCAAAAAAAAAAACGTAAAAAAATTCTAGCTTCGGTGTTTTTTGAATTTTTACCTTCTACTCTTGGGAATATTTTTTTTTATATATTTCTGAATTTCGGTTTTTTTGTTTTTTAAATCGGATCACTATATCATATAGCTGCCATAGGAACGGTCGAAAAATTAAATGGAAATTAATGGGAAAAAAATTATATCTTTGTTGGTTTTTATTACATTTCCTTCTACTCTGGGATATGACCAGGGAACGTAACTGTTATAAGTTTTATTTTAAAAATCACACTTTAACAGTTATTTTCTGATTTGTAAAGTAAAACTCAAAGAATAACTGTTATTTTTTGAGTTTTATAATAAAAGTTGACAAATAACAGTTATTCGTCGTGATCAAAATAAAACTCAAACTTGATTTATGGCGATTTTGTGGGAAAACAAAATTTAAAAAAAATATAGGTATAAAATATGCGCGGTTGCCTTTTTTAACAAATTTTTAGTAAGTTATAAAAAGCACGGGTATCATGTTTTTTTTAATTATTTCATTTTTTCAAAAATGTCAAGGGAATAACTGTTATTCATAAAAATCAAAAAATAACAGTTATTTTTTGAGTTTTATTATAAAAATCAAAAAATAAAAATCATTACGGATTTGTAAACTACAATGGCTAATAAAAATTGTGGTGAATTTAAAAAATTTTTAGGACCATTCTAAGTGCGTGATTTTTTTGTATGAAAAATTTACAATAACAGTTATTTTCGTTCCCTGGATATGACTATTTTGAAATATTTCCGAATTTCGATTTTAATTTTTAAAAGATCGAACAACTATATCATATAGCTGTGATAGAAACGATCGAAAAATTAATGTGAAATAATAAGAAATTTAACATTTTTGCGATTTGTAAATTTATAGAACGATCTGCAAGGGTATATAAGCTTCGGCTTGCCGAAGCTAGCTTCCTTTCTTGTTTTTTTTTGTTTTTTGTTTGCTAGGTGATGCTTTAGTTATACCCGTTACTCGTAGAGTAAAAGGGTATATTAGATTCGTGCAAAAGTATGTAACAGGTAGAAGGAAGCGTTTCCGACCCTATAAACTATATATATTCTTGATCAGGATCACCAGCCGAGTCGATCTAGCCATGTCCGTCTGTCCGTCTGTCCGTCTGTCTGTCTGTATGAACGCTGAGATCTCAGAAACTACAAAAGCTAGAAGGTTGAGATTTCCCACACATATTCTTTGGCTTCCTACGCAGCGCAAGTTTATTTTAGCCGAGCGCCACGCCCCCTCTAACGCCCACAATCGCCCACTTACGATTTTAAAATGGGTCCTGCGCCAACATCTTTAAAGATTTCCGAAAAGTAAAAATGCAATTTTGTTGTGTATATTGTAGAAGACATTTTTCAAATCGGACCATTCATTAAAAAGTTATACGCAATCAAAATTTCTATATCTATCTCCCTCCCACTCCCTTTAGCTGAGTTACGAATTTTAGTCGGGACACCAACCCGAGTACAGCGTTCGCACTCCCTTTAGCTGAGTGACGGGTATTAGATAGTCGGGACACCACCCGACTGTAGCGTTCTCTCTTGTTTTATTTTAAACTTTGTTTAATCTGTCCGAGGCAATATATATGGCTCATTCCACGTGAAACGTGACAGGCCAATTTGGGTCAAATCTCAGAATCAATCGAAACTTTTTTTTTTTCGATAGAGGATTGAAATATAAGGATCGGTTTTTATTTTTTTTTTTTAACTCTTACCGTTTATTTAAAAAAAATAATTTTCTAATTAAGCTTCGATTTTTCAGCTATGCATCACTTGAGACTCGTTTGAGTTATTTCAATATTTGGTATGCAATTTTGTGGGATATGTTCATGTCTTTCAGAAAAATAAATTTAAAAAAATTTTAATTTTAAAATTAAGTATTTTTTAAGAGAATTTAAATTTAAAAAAATTCTGTACGCCGGAATACACGCGGTTTCCGAATAAAAAAATTATCCTCATATTGCTTCATCAATTCTTCACGAAGTGGTAAAATAAAATTTTTGTATTTGCAAGACCTACTAGTAAAGACAACGATTTTAGTTTAGCAACTTTGCATCAAGCAACAACAGCGCAACGTGTAAGAAGAGAACAGCAATACGAACACGAGAGAGCAGCAATAGTGCTTTCCCTTTCTTACACG